GCCTCAGTCTGTCACACATCCTTAATGTTGTTTAAAAATCCACTTTCTCTCAAACCCATGTTGAAATAATTAAGACATGAATGCTGAGCATCAGAGCAATTTTAGATAGAATAGACTTGAGGTCCACATACATGTCCTTGCTGCATCTCCCTCCTGGCGACGTGACCTCACTTTGAGTCCACCTGACCTGGTCAGCAGGTGAAGTTCAGCATTCGCGTCATGAATCCTTCTCACAAGGACACCTGTTGGCTCTGACAGATAAGAGGCAGCTGGGCGCTCTATCAGCAGCGCTTCTCACAAGGCAGAAGGAGGGATGAGAGACCAGCATTGGGCCAACAGTTTCTGATAACCCCCCACACACACACACACACACACACACACACACACAAACACACACACACACACACACACACACACACACACACACACGAACATTTCTGTGGAGCGCTTCATGAGTGAACGCAAGCAGTCAAATTTTTCACCCAGTCTTTTTCCTGCAAGTCCATCTGACATTGACAGATTTGTTCATTAAACAATCAAATAGAATCAAAAACAATCTTTGTGTATTGCAGCATGAATCATAGTTATTTAAAGTGAAATGGTAACTTCCTGAAATGCTGTCACCAATCTTTCAGAGTCACTTTGTTCGGATGCTGCTGGCATTGGGGAGGGTTTGATAAAGAAAAAATGGTTATGTATCATGGGAATACAATTCACATAAGACAAGACCACTTCAATCCCCTCCAACCACAACCCCTCCCCCTCCCCTTTGACTGTGTTTTAATGTGCGCAGGCACAGTTGTGAAAATAAACAGCCTACTACTAAAATTAAGTCAGTCGATAACTTCTCTGGTCAATTTAATGAGCAGCACTATGTACATTATGGTTTATTTAACAACAATCCCAAGTATCATTGGGAATGTAAATTATATACAAAATGTGCATATCATCCACATAATCTATATCAGTGGATTTGAAATCAGTGGAACATAATCATGCATTTGCATTAAATTTGCTTGTCTTTAAATTAAGCCCTGTCTGACGGTCGTGCTTATAAATCAGCTCTTATCTCTTACTTTATTTCAGGGTCACGTTTCAGGGCTCAGAGGAAATGAAACTTCGAAGTCTTCAAATCCCCTCTGGTCTCTCGGGACCTTGAACCTCTCACTTCACCAGTGGTGCAGCAGAGGTTCCTGCCAATTAGTGCAAAGGGCATGCAGTAAAAACTGTCACCTCAGATCAGCTTCAGCTGAATTTGTGTATATTTGCCATATCAAGAGTTTGTCTGTAATGATTCAAGATGCTATGAGGTAATTTCCTTTTCCTCATGATGTTGTGGAGAAATATGAAGAAAGTCAATACAAATTCCACCACAGGGCACAAAATGTAAAATGAATCTAGCTTAGTTTATAAACTTCAAACCATAAGTCTTCTGCTAGAAATTTAACAAGGTTTTACTTCTTTAATTTGGGGTCTTTTCTGCCTTTATTAGATAGGACAATTCAAGAGAGAAATAATGATAGAAGAGAGTGGGGGGATGACATGCAGCAAAGGGCTGAGCTCAAATTCAAACCCACAGCAGCTGTGACGAGCACTATAGCCTACGACCTGGGGGGGGGGGGGGGGTTTAATGGCTGCTTGTTACAGTTGGCATTTTCTAAAGGAATGTTCTGACCATGTTGTTCTGTCGAACGCATGCTAATTTGCAGCAGATGACTGAAGAGAAAGAAAGAAGTACATGGGCCACAAATTCATTTTGTGCTGTTTCGCAAAAGCCAATCAGCGTATGTATTTCCTTGACCTCCATGGGAAGCATCAGAAATGTTAAACATGAAAACAGAATATGAATCTCCACCCATGTTAAATTAAAGAAACACCTTTATACCTCCTTAGTAGAAAAACATGTAAGGAAATATCGTCTTTTCAGTCAACTTGTAGACATAAAAAATGATGGGCAAAATAAAAATGACTAATAGTTACAGTTAAATGCAACTAAGTTACAAACTGAGTTACCTCATTATAAATTGAACTAGTTACTTGGTCATGTGTCCGATGCGACCATGGACTGTCGACCTGTGAGGGCCATTTTTGCGGGCAGGCCTGCTTGGGAAAGTAACTCTAGCATTGCTTGTTTTTGCTTCAATAATAATAATACATTCATTTTATATAACACTTTTCTAAATACTGAAAGACGCTTTGACAAAAACAACCAAAAACAAAACAAGAACATCGAGGACAGTACAACGAAGGAGTAATGTAAGGGGGGGTGGATGGGAGTTAGTGGTTGTAGGCAGTGATGAAGAGGTGAGTTCTTGAAGGAAGTGAGTGTGGGTGAGTCTCTAATGTTTTTTGGGAGTGTGTTCCAGAGGTCGGGAGCAGCAATGGAGAAGGCCCTGTCCTCCCAGGACCAATATTTTGTCCTGCAGGGGGAGTCATATTAATGACCACATTATTAGTGTCACTGTGGCAGTCTGAGAGGAAACAACCCTCACATTCACTGTCAATATGTAGGGTTTTTCATAATTAACTTACTGAGCTGAAAAGTTTGAGCACCCCTGTACTAAACTTAAACTAAACTAATGTGTGAACACAACTCCAACAAAGCTGCTTTGTTTCACCACCGTTATATTGCACTTGTAAATCTCAGATAGCTGCAAGATCACCTCTTGACTGCCCATCTGCCAGCAGCTGCATTTTATATAAAGTTTAAAAAAAAACTATCTTCAAGATTTGAATTGTGAAGTCTGTGACCTCACAACACCCATCGTTTTCTAATACTGTTGGAGATGAGCGGTCAACTGATCTATATTTGTTCTCTACTGTTGCATTTTCAAGGTTTGAGGCTAGAACAAGTCTTAGTCAGTTTGTTCGTAAACTCTGACATTGTGACATTTGATCATATTTCATAGATACTGCCATGTGATAGAGTTTACATATATTCTAGGTCAAGAGAGAGAGGGAGTGAGGGGGAGCTGATATAAAACCTCAATAGTAGAGTAATGCATATGTCATGTATTATTTATGATTTCAAGCTCAATCTTTTTTGAGGACAACCCTCGACTGAGAGCCCATAAGAGGACACCCTTTGGGGTTTAGTATCATCCTCTGTTTTTTAACGAGAGAAGCTGATCTGGTCTGCTGGAGATAATGCAAAAGTACCACATTGCTTATGTCACACTGTTCTTTCACTCATTGTGAATGGACACATTTGTCTTGTTTAATGCCAGTGGGGAAAAGTCATTTCAAACCTTGCTTGTCACCTATGTCAAAACAAGACAGCTGGGTGTACGTGGGTGAGCAAATATAACAAACTTCAGCTTTATTTCAGTATTACCACTACAGGTTTGTGTTGAAGGACTGTGTGTTTCATTGCAGGTAGAATAAATTCTCTTACCTTTTCTGATTACATATTCTTTATTTTTCAAGTCTGGTATCCATACTCTTACTGAAGGAAATCCAAATACCTCCCACCACTGCTAATTGCTAACATGCCCATGCTTGCATACTGATTTTTGTCATCACTGTCTAAGTACTTCATTATATTAACATTTCCAAGAAGACCTTTCTGTCAAAACAGAAAATATTTTTTTGTCAAAACACACAAATATGTTCTTTTAAATATGCCTTTTTAAAATCAGTATATGGTTGCCATGTGTTTTTCATGTAATTGGACATAAACAGCAGAGAGAAAATCCAATGACTATAAGCAAAGACTTGTCTCATTCTCCTCCAGCCTGAAAACGCCCAAGACAACATATATCAGAACAAGATATGCAATGCCACAGATACAAGAAAAATGTTTTCTGCTTTTAACTCACTGCTTCCACCACCTCCTCCTCCACCCTCCGATCTGTTCACACCAGACATGTTTGCCTTGTATTTTACTGAAAAGGTTTCAACCATCAGTAACCAGTTTTCTGAGCCTGACCAACTCAGCCCAAAGGCACCAACCAAAAGTGCCTCACTTGACTCATTCTCCTCTCTGACTGAGGATGAAGTCTTTAAGCTTGTGCTAGACTCTCGGCCCACCACCTGTCCTCTGGAGCCAATACCATCAAGCCTCCTGCAGACCATTTCCTCTCTGCTTAATGCTACACTTAAGCATATCATCAACTCCTCTCTGTGTGTTCCCCACCGCATTCAAGCAACCTCTGGTCACCCCTCTGCTCCCACACTAAACCCAGCCCAGGTTGAAAACTACAGACCGGTTTCTCTTCTGCCCTTTCTGTCAAAAATACATGAGCGCACAGTCTTTAAGCAAGTCTCTGAGTTCCTGTCCAGAAACGACCTGTTTGACCCAAATCAGTCAGGATTTAAGCAGAGCCACTCTACTGAAACTGCACTACTGTCAGTAACAGAATCGTTACGAGCTGCCAGAGCTGCGGGTCAGTCCTCAGTTCTATTACTGCTAGACCTGTCTGCTGCCTTTGACCCAGTCAACCATCAAATCCTCCTATCCACGCTCTCTGAACTTGGCATCTCAGTATCTGCCCTCTGCTGGTTCGTGTCCTCCAAACTCCTCTGCACCTTTAAGAAAAAGCTAAAGACCCAGCTCTTTCATGAATACCTACTAACTTAATGATGATGGTCTCAATATATTATTGATAATGATGATGGTAATGACGATGGTTTCTGTTTGATAACGAGGACTTATAAGATGGTTTCTATACTGATTAGAGCTCCCAAGAACTGCCGTCAATGTTGTGCTTTGCCTCTGGTCACTTCCTGTCAGCACCTGTGTGTCCAATCGGACTCAAAGCTGATTGTTTGCTCTTACTGACATTGTTCCCTTTTTTCTAGATCCTTGTTTGTGTTGTACTTACTCTCTGATGTACGTCGCTTTGAATAAAAGTGTCTGCCAAGTGAATTGTAGAAATGTAGAATAAACCAAAGAACAGGACAAGTCAAATGTTTTTTTCTAGGACATAAACATCTGTGAAAATTTTTAAATCACAACATTTCAGTCGAAACCCACCAATGTCAAACATGTGGTGGTAACAACAGGTTACATCTTGTATTTGAGCTTTCCCCAGTTTAAAATATAACCAACCAATCAGACAGGTGATATAGGATTAAAAAAATGCACACCACACGTATTTGTAACACTATCACACCTGCAGTATTTTGTTTATAACTGAAGTGCCCCTGTGACCTGCAGGTTCCTAAGAAACATCTACAAAGTGAAAACCTAAAAAAAGAAGAAGCCCTTCGATATCTGCTATCATGGACGGGATAAAAAATAGGAGCCAATGGGAAACATCTCCTTGATTAAATTCAGGTCTCTATGCACTCTCTGTGTGCAAAAGTGGTTCATCGTGAGGATGATTTTGATGAGTGTGGACTTCAAGGACCTCTGCATCTCCGATCCTCTCTGCAGGAGAGGGCAAGAAGTACGTCCCATATTAACAGAATACAATACGGGGGTTACTTAACATTACAGGTCCATTAATGAGATGGAACAAAAATTGAAGCAGAGAATAGATACAAAAGCATCCATATTTGATCAATAACATGCAATAACTCTTATAGAAGCAAACATGGCATGGCCTCAGCAGAAAGTTAGATCTGTGCATTCTTGTTAATTTGGGTTTTTCTACCTTAAAGCATACAAAAGAACAACTAAATCACTCTGTCTTAATAATTATTGTAAAAGAGACATTTGGAGGCTATATGGGAGAGCAGCTGGGAGAAGAATTACAAACATAGATTTTTCAGGAAGATGAAAAGCATTAAAAAATGAAGGACACGATTGAGTTACCTGGTTTGTCATTGATGGAAGCTGGGTTCACTTTGTATGAGCTATGGAGGTAGATTTAAAAAAAACAAATAAAAGGTTTTCAAACTCAACAACAAAATGTTTTAGACAACACTGCAACACTGTTAAGATTAAAGCAACCATCATTACCTTTTTCTCTCTGGTTTTCTCCACGAGTGCTTGAATGATGGCCCGTATGTCAGCAGAGATTCACTGCGCGGAAATTCCTGCTGCTGGCCTGAGAGGTCCACCCCATCCAGAGCCTGTTTGATCATCCCCATCACCATGTCTTTCTCTGAGGATAGACCACATCACACACAGGGTGGAGAAGTTTTCAGCATTTCTCTGTTTTTCTGGTCAGAATGCCACCAGAGCAGATCGCACTCTCCCAGTGGTTACATTCAATTACAGATTCAAACCCTCAGGAGAGGGTCAGCACTCAATTAACCCTCTAATTAGATCAAGCTGACCAAAACGCATTAGGAGGGCTGAATGATGCAATTTAAAAGCAATTTCATCATTTCATTTTTTCACAGATTTGTGCCTCCTCTAATTTACATGGATGATTACATGTGCTATTAGAGAATTATCTGTGGACAAAGTCTCCCTATCTCTTCACTGTTCCCGTTATGTACAACCTTGTGAAGTGATCTGACAAGAAAAAAAAAATGTTTTTCTTTTTTTTTCTTGAGGAAATCAGCATGACAAGAGAAAAGGGACAAAAAGAAAGTGAGAAGAAGACATGAAGACAACAAACACACAATGTACAAACATACAAACAACCACAGTTATACAATAATGTATGGATGATGCCAGACAGGTCTGCTAGGTCTATTAATCCTGCACACTTCTGCACATATGGACAAATGCACACGCACACACACACACACACACACACACACACACACATCAATCCCGCTCTCTCTCTCTCTCTCTCGCTCTCTCTAATACACAATCCGACATTTCTATTTCTATTCTTCCGTTAGCACAAAAAAATGTCTCCTTCTGCTTCATCCAGCTGTTGAAGCTGGCAGTGAAACTTTGCAGACGAAAAGGAACACAACGGCTCATTACATGTGTATGCTGAATGCTTTTAGGTTGTAAAGGGAAAAAAGAAAAAAGAAGATTATTCTTCAAGTTACTTGAAACTGAAGAACAATTATTATACAGCCAAGGATGCCCAGTCTCCAAAGTCTGAATGACATTTTACAATTTTATGACTTTCAATTCAATAATTAAACATACAACAATAGACATTAATAAAAGTCCAGCATTTCATCAGATCAGAGGGTTTGAAAACACATCAAAGAGCCTTTAACATAAAACAAACACATTATTTAAAAAAAAGCCAATACTAGGTCAAGAGTTTAAATAAATCTAAAATGAGTTAGTACAATAATTTAGTACCAATTAATTAAAACTTTTTTTACAGACAGTAAAGGATGAATGTTTAACTTCTTGATCCAGTAAATGTGGCCCACCAGCATGAAACCAAAACAAACTGCTGTTTAGCCTCCGCTATTCTGAAGCCTTCACTCTCCTCCAGCGACACACCTCCAACCTCTCTCCACTCGCATTCACACGGAGGAGTTATGAATTAGAATGCACCATAATTAAGCACCATTAAGGGCAAGCGGCGGACAAAAGTGTCCTTTGCTCGAGCTGCATTTGCCTGGTGCCTGCATTGTTGTGTTAACAGGTTAATGTTAGCACACTGTGGTCTGCTAGCTTTCATATTGCACATAGATTGAAGCACTGAAAAATGTTCCGTCATCACTGAAAGTAATGTATGCATTTGGGAAACACATGTTCAATTTCGCTGTATCTGAGCGTCATTTTGAAAATATATTTTAAAATATTTGGAAATAAGAAAACCTTTTACCTCTTTGGCCTGCGAGCAGAAGCCACTGCTGGACTGTGGACAGAGAATCTGTCTGCAGGATCTGACAAAGCAGCTCCAACACCTGACAAGAGAGCAGAAAGCAGATTACACTGTGAGCTCGCAGAGAGGCTATTTTCCAGCAGCGGTGCAACTGCAGTGTTATCTTTGACAACAGCTGTGTAATCTTGTGAATTTCAAAGATCATGGACAGCTCATTTTGATCTCCCGCTATCTCTCCTCAGGAAAACAATATTACAACGCTTTCCCCTATAGTTTCGCAAATGACTGTTTTTCAACTGTGGAAGAGGTAGAAAAAAAGGGAAGGAGTGTTTCACCATGAGCTCTTGATCATGAAGAGGCTGAGGATACACCCCGCGCTGGAAATGTGATCTGCGTTGATAAGACTTGGAGGATGGTGGGATGATTCTCCCAGTTTCAGATGAATATTGGGTCTTCCGGCAGACCAATTCTTCCTCCGGTTGGTCCTGAAAAACATAGACAAACTCAATGTTCTTTGTAAAAGAAACCTTTTTTTTCATTTATTTAGTAAGTAAAGAACTTGAGAAGTGTGGGTTAAGCTATGTTGGTAGAGTAGGCGCCCCATGTACAGAGGATTCAGTCCTTGTCACACTGGTAGCAGGATTCATTTCTGGTCCTGAAGTTATTTGGTGCCTGTCATCCCCCTCTCTCTTTCTCTCTCTCTCCACATTTCATGTCTCTCTTAAGCTGTCCAAAGGAAAACTAATAATTGATTTCACCTGGAAAGGTTATAAAAACCCTTTTTAAACAACCTCTAGAAGAAATTTGTAGTAGAATCTGACATTCACCAAATCTTCCTCATCTGGGTTTCATTCTGATCTAAGAACAAAATCTAAGAACAATCGTGAGCACTCTTGTGATTGGTTTAATTTTTAGCGGCACTACATCCACTTCAAAACTACTTCAGTGTTTATATCTTGATGTCCATTGTATGAAGATTTTAATTGAATCATTTTGACCTTTTTTTTTTGATCCAGTGTGACTTTGGTGTGGCTTTGAAAGTGGATAGAGTAGATATGAACCCAGGCTGCCTTCTTGGATGAAAAGCCTCCTATGTGAGGCACGACAGAACTGCCAGAACATCTTGGCCCCTAATTTCACTTCTTCCAATAACATAAAGCACAGGTCAAACCAGTTCTGGGTCACAGAGCAGAACGTCAATAGTCAAAGCATCTACAACCTAATCTTCCAGCAACAGATTGCATGCTGCTGTAGCAGCGTATACCTGAAACACCTTTCCCCAATTCCCCTACTCCTCCTTTTCAAAGATACTCTTTGGAGACAGATAGCAAGAATATGATTTGCGAAAAAACTCATAAGGCAGACTGTAGCTCCCAGCATATTTCAAATGAATACATTTACACAAGTATGAGGGACAAAGGTTAAGTTTTGCCTCATAAATATGTATATCCAATGATTTAGTCGATGAGAAGTCAGTGCCAGACAGTTAGAGCATACAATACAGAGTGCAACGATGAATCAGTGCCTTCGGACTGTTATGAGCCTCAAGGTTCCTTGGTATACAGTAAGGAAAGAGTGAAGGCTATGAAAAGATTCATGCATAAACATCTCTCTATTTAAAAAAAAGTTTTTTTATTAAAAGACAACAGGAAAAAAAGCAGCCAGCAACTAAAAGTAGCCTAGCGAATAGAAGGTATGCTTATTAGCACTGACCACAACATAGCCAGAAGCAAACATATGCTAATTAGACTTGATAAGATGGAGTCTGCTAATTTGCACAGATCACAAAGTAGCTTCTGGTGAAGTGAGAAGGTTCTCTGTGAAACTGAGAAATGTTCTCCCCTTTATGACTTTTCTCTAGGTAGTATAGTTTCCTCCCACAGGCCAAAGAGATGCCAGCTAGGTTAATTATATAATAATAATAATAATGCGCTGTAGATAAAAGTTATTTCAATGTCTCGGCTCTGTGATTGACAGGTGTCCTGTTCAGGCGTTAAGCTGCCTCTCACCTTGTGTCCGCTGGGATAGGTGCAAAAGCTAATTCCGAGATGGATGAAAAAAAACACCCTGTGACAAGCTTTACGTAACAGTCAGTATCATACATATTTCAAAACTGTTGTCTTTTTTTTAAGTAGTGTTAATAAATGTAAAGTCTGCCTCTGGGTGAAGGTGGTTAGGTTAGTTACTGGGATTCTATGCCTCAGCTAAAATACTCCATGGCCCTTTTTTTCTTGGGTTTTTTCCCCGCAGGCACATTGCCCATGGCCCTGACAATGTCCTTTCAGAACCTTGGTTGCTATGAATTTGTACCTCTGGGACTCAAACTTTTCCGTCTTGATTTGCAAATCACAAGTCTTTCGCCTGACAAGCAGTGGCGAGTCTAGAGCCTGTTGGGGGCCCAAGGATAAAATTCACAGGAGGCCCCTCCAACCAGCATTCACCACCATTATGTTATAAATAATCTGACACTACCTAAAAAAGCAAAAGAGCAAAAATAATTTATTTGTATTTTCAAAATAAATGCAAAGTGAAACTGTCATTTTCACATGACCATGATGAATAAGAAAAATAAGGTGAAAGCTCAAACACCACAATGTAATGTAGCGGAAGTTAATTTACTCAAGTTTCTTTCCTGTGAATTTAGGGCTTGACGAGCAACATGACCACGGTCATTGCAGACTTTGTATATTTTGATCCACTGCTGTGGTTGGAAGTTTGTCAGCCCTTGGGGATGCCCCCTACACTGGCCTGGGGCCTCAAGCAGCTGCCTGCCTTGCCTGATGACAAGCAGCGACTCTGCTGGCAAGGATGGTGCATGCAAGTGTATATCTGAAATGCTGTTGTGTATTCTTGTTTTGGCCACGTTTAATATAGTCTCTACATCATGGCCAACTATATTCCCTCAGTCACTGTCAGGCGTTTGATTGATATAACCCAACAAGCTTGTACCATAAGCTAATTCATAAATGTACCTCTTTTTTATCCTTTTGTGTTTGAGAGGACAAGGTGACTTTTGTGGCGAGTTCTTTAAGTTCATCTCTCCAGGCTTCTGAAAACAGCGCTGTGAAAAAAAAAGAGTCTCCTATTATTCTGAAGACAAATGCGAGTTCTCTTAAAAGAGATTGAGGAAAAAGTTCGGCTTAATACCTGATCTGTCTTTATTAACACTGACTCCATAAAGGCTCTTGGCGAGCGGGAAAGCAACAGATGGATCCGTTGTTTTCCTGTGGACGTGGCTCTTGAGAAGTGGATGGGGAAATAGGGATGAGGTGACATACCAATCATCTCGCACCATGCAAACGGGCCCACCATTGAGTCCTGGGGGAGGAAAGAAAAGGCCTTATGTTAAGAGTTCAGCACCCACACAGACACACACATACGAGGTAGGCATGAGTGTGGGACAATAATAGGAAATGCCCTGAGGAAACAAAGTTAAAAGTTCTGCTGAGACTCAAAATGAAACTGAGATGAAACCTACTTCTCATCTCTTTTATTAACCTTACTGCTATTCCAGGTACGCAGCTGCTTCTGAAATATTTCACTTGACTTGGAAATTCTGAATCAACTCAGAGAGGGTTGCTTCTAATGTCAGAGTAAGGCTCTTATTAATGACTTTATTTTGAAAGCAATGTAGCATTTTAAGCTCAGCTTTTAATGTTGCCCAGATGTGAATTATGTCTTGCCTTCAACATGATTATTGTTGATTGTAAAATGAGCTAAATGATGTCCTGAAGAGGAGAGACTGAGCTGAAATTCTCAAAGTGTTTTCTGATAAACTGTCTGATTGTCAAAAACAGTTAATTAAATAATATTGCTTGAGTTATTTGGAGGGGAAATGAGCAGGGACACAAGCAGTGCTGGATAAACACATCCCAAAAATGTGCCCTGAATCCTCCACGATATAGAGCTGTGAAGTATCTTTACATTTTGAAATGGAAGGTCAAATATAATTGCTGCTCCATCAACAAAAGAGAAGAAATGAAAATGGAATCTCTTACTTTCTAAGTGATAACAGTTCAAATAGAAGAAAAACATCATCTGCATTGCACATAAATACATATTTGGAAATTGTAGATAGATTGGAACTTAAATGAAATGCTGAGCTTATTTCCTCAGAGAAATTAGCAGTAAAGGTTGAAAACAGCTACTGATGTCTGTGCTGCACAATGAATGTGTAAACACATACGCAGTTTCTGTAACTGAGGGAAAACATGTGATTTAAGTGTCAAAACATCTTGCAGTAAATAAAGAAATTAAATTTCATAAATGTTAAGAAAATGATTTGTTGCCCAGTTGGCTGCTGCTCACCTTGAAGATGTCTCACCCTGTGTGGATGAGGGTTGTGTCGGGAGAAGAAGGAATGATGACTCAAGGCCCCAAAGCGTGGACTGCTTGTCGTCAGCCTCTTGGTAAACTCAGCGTGGAATGGGACATGGTTAGTTTGACCACGGCTCCGCTCTCCTGTTGAACCCCGGGAGTCGAGGCTCGGTGTTACAGACATGTCGTCAAATCACAGCCGAGTGTTGTCTCTAAATTTGAAGGAATAAAAGGAGACCTCTTACATAAAAGTCTCGTTATGAGGAGATGTCAAAGAAATTCACTACAACTTCTATACTAAAGGCATCAAGTCATCGCAAAGTTGTGATGAAGAAGTCTAAAAACCTAACAAGGAGCTAGACAGAGAAAGTCAAACTTAATTTGCTTCTAAAGAAGAAGTTTAATTTTAGATTAAACAATGAAATGTATGTTTTTAATACTGCCAAAAGAACTATAGAGAGAAAAAATAATTAAAGATTAGGACTAAATTATATTCTTTACCTTAGAAACAGTCTCCAGCTCTCAGCCTTTCGTACTTTCTGCCCTGTGTTGTTCTTTGTTGCTAAGAAACGTGAAGAACGGCATCCGTACACAGTGATTGTCATGCACACGGCTCATTGAGACCTGATTCTTATAATGAAAGCAGCTACAATGTTTTTATTTTTATGTTAGATTAAAGAGTCTAAATCTCGTATGGATTCTGTATTTTCTAAATGAAGATGATAAAAACAGGAAGACGATTGACATGAACCCTTGTTTGTGAGGCACATCATACTGTATGTGTTATTTTACCAATTTGCTGCAGCATGTAACACTGTGACAAGAATGTGGATGCTGATGAGCTCTGTCAATGGTGATTATTTATCAACTGCATGAAGAAGCAATCCTATTTGAGAGATACTTGTCAGTTTAGAGGAAAGTTTCTTAAACTAATGATGTTTGATGATGATGATGTCTAAGCAAAAAATATTTCGCAGTTAGGATATTATTATCTAAAGTTACATATTTAAATTCAAATAAGGTTGTGGAAAAATTCAAACTCTAACTTATACACTACATATGATGACGTGCTTCATTGTGTTGTTAACACTAATTGATTTTTTTAACTATAAAGATGAACTTGTTTTAAACTTCCAACTACGTGTCTGTATTAAATAATAATAGGACGTAGCTTCTTAGTTTAAAAAGTGAAGCCAATGTGGAAGTGCGTCAAAGCTTCAGTATTCCTTATGGCCAGAAGGGGGAGACATGCCTTGTTAAAAAAAGAAAAAAAAAGTAATATTTTATGGAAATCGATGAGAGAATTATTCTACTTCTCAGTTGATGTATTTTCTCTGTAAACTTTTAGCTAACTTGTCTATGGTCTTAATTTAGAAATGATTCGTTTCAAGGCTTCTTAGTCACAGCATGATGTTCATTTGTAAGTTATGCTACAACAAACTAGGGTTTGCTTTCTGGTTGGCTGTGATCAACAAGTCGCTTCCGCAACGACCTGTCAACCAGGATAGAGCTTCAGTCCTCCCACTCCTACAAGTATGGTCACTTATAACTCAAAAAGGAAAAGAAAAAAAAAACTTGGACAATGTGACAGCTCCCTTTTATGAAATTCTAAGCCTGAGAGCCAAGACTCAAGACTTTCATGTGCTTCATTCCTTACTGCCACTTTAGGTAATTTCTTGCATGAACAGTTATATCAGAATGAATCAGACAGCCGTTATTTTTTCTTGTCAATGCTGTAGTGGATGGTAAAGTAAGAGTGGTTCAATGTTATAGAAGATTAAAGTGGAAATAAGAGAGTGAGACATCTTCAAAGTGCCTCAAATTGCTGGTGGAAATTATGCTCTTGGGATTGTTCCAATGATAATGTTTTCGGAACGCAGATTCATTTTCTGAAAACGCACACAGTAAATAAGATATGACAACATGAATAACTTTACCTAACAACAATAAATGAATTTATATTAGTTCCCCTCAACATCAATATTTTCACGAGGAGAGTAATTTACATCTCTGCAAAAACATCTCTATTAAAGGTGCTCATAACACACAAACATATACTCACATAAAACTCTTCATCAGGGTCACCTTCAACTTTCTAAAATGAGTGGGTGAAAGAAAAAAACATTCAGCAGCACACCAGTTTGTCTTTTTAAGGAAATGTTAAAAAGATCTATCTGAATCTGAATAACATTCAAGAATGAATTACAATACTTAAAAACGACTGGAAACGTTAGCTTTTATTTAGAAATGAATTTGACTCTGAATAATAACTTGGGATCATCGACAGGTCTGAAACATTTGGCTATAGTTTAAAAATTACGAAGCTTAAAGGAGAAGGAAGTAAGCTATTTTCTGACTGAAATCATAAAATGAACATACTATATTATCAGACATTAGGGAAACATGCTATGTTTGAAGTGCTGGCTACTCAGTCAACAACACAGCAGTATGTCCTCTTCCCAAGTTTCCATTCCGGTACAAAATGGTTAGTTTTTGTGACCGGAGAAATAGGCTACACCAGCACACGGACATTTTTGCCATTTCAGTTTGTCTGGTAAATGGCAAACCAATTGGTGTAGCAGCGATGAAAACTGATAAGCTAACTGGTTCAGATATAACTGATTCTACCCAACCTAAAAAGCCTCCGAACTTCCATCAGATACGTGTGCGTTACGGCTCGGTGCACCCTCGTCCGAAAATATTTTGCCCATGTTAGCACACTAACACACTTTGTAACATGCTGGACTTGATAGTAGTCTAATGTTTGCAATTCGCTTAAAACTGCTGTATTATTTTCACAATTATGTTAGCATGTTTGTTTGTCTAAATCTCCTGTGAGGAGCTTTCTGTTATATTGATTTGGCGCCCCCCTCTGGACAAAGTGGAACTTTAAATCTTTCTTTTTATCCTGCCCTTTATATGCTCAAGGAACGTTTTATGACAAAAATCTCATCCTGATCCTTTTAATGGTCAAAAGGGAAACTCACTGTGAATCCTTTTTGTGGAAAATATAAACAAATGCAAGTAATTTTAGTCTCATTGGTGCTTTTATGTATGCACAAACCTCCTGAAATTTTCCTGAAATTGTCGGGGTAAGCTGAATGTGTCAATCTTGCTTCCTGAGACAAATCTATTCTTCCCTTGGTCATGACCCGGCTCAGGAAGTCACAACAAAAATGGGAGACATCCCAACTTGAAGTTTAAATAATTCTTTATTAATCTAGATTAAACCAAATAAGATAACTAAACAATTCTTAATAAACCACATTAAACCAAATTAGACCAAATGAGTCTTATTCTTTATTTAATTTATTTTAGTAACTTCAGCACGCCGGGCCAAGGTGTGCTGAGTTACTCCAATTAGTGCTTCAACGTGATCACAGGTTAGACACACCTCCAAGACAATCACAATACAATGAAAACAATTACCTGATGACTCTATGGGGGCATCACAGAGGTGTTTTGGTTTTGATAATGGAAATGGAAAGAGGCTTTGTCCAGTGCACTTGTTATTTTTCTTATCATTTGGGTTGGAACGAGTGTGAATAAAAACACGTCAGGAAAGTGGGTCATATCTTCACAACACTTATTTCAATCATGATTAAAATAACGCAGAAGAAAATAAAGGGTCCATCTCATTGTACAGTCCATGCAGACTGTGTTCTCTGCTAAATGTACTTTCACTTGCTCTCAAAACTACGTGTCCTTAGTTCACCACCAGAAAGTGAATCAGTGATCTCAAGTTGTCTGTCTTGAAATGTTTTTCAAAAAGCAATGCTTTTCTGCACTTCTAACTTCCATTGGTTGTTTTGAGAGCCTGCAAAGTGGTGGGTGAAAATTATTTGGTTATATTATGTATTATGGTCCAAAATCTTATTAGTATTAGTATAAGTATTCAATTCAGTTTATGTGAGAAATGCCTGAATGTGTACTAGATTGCCCAGAATTTTTAGTATTGAAACAGGAGCACACTGGTCATACTAAACCGCCCTTAAATGTATTGCGGCTCTCAGACTTACAGGGAGCTCTTCAGTCAGCCAATTACAGGCTTCCAATTGAAGTGACTACTGTAATACATATATGCCATATGAAATGGTAAATGGTAAATGGACTTGAGCTTATAGCACTTTTCTAATCTTCTGACTACTCAAATCGCTTTGACACCACATGTCACACCTACCTATTGACACACTGATGGCAGAGGCTGCTGTGTAAAGTGACCATCAGAAGTAACTAATCCCATTCATACACATACACACACTGCCGACAAAGCAGCATGACTAATTCAGGGTTAAGTGTCTTCTAAGGACACATCGGACATGTTGCTACAGAAGCTGGGGATCGAATCCCCGACCTTTCGATTGAGCCCCTACCTGTATTATGTAGTCATGAAACTGTGTATACCCTTGATGACAACTCAATCTGAAGGGGGGCAAAATGACTTTGCAAAGACTCAGGTGATCCACCAGATTCATGATTCATCACCTGTTAATCATGACTCTTGCTCTAAAGTCTCAGCACACTTAGATAAATATAAAAAATATATTTCAGTCTGTTTAGATTTCTCAGAATCGAATAAAATCAATTTCCCCTGTCACTGTGTCACATCGGTTACACTTGATATTTATAACAGCTTGATGTCTTCAGTTTATGAGAAAGCAGCCTTGAGTCATCTTTTTGAATACTATAAAAGAGGCGATGGTTTCTGGATACCACTCTTGAGACCTCAGTGATGTTTGAACCGTGTGGTTATAGGAAATGCAGACGCCACAGGTTGTCCGGTAAGAACATGAGAAATCGGTCTGACACACACATGAAGTGAAGATAGGTGAAGATGAAGATAAATGAAGATAAGTGTGTGTGTGTGTGTGTGTGTGGTTTCTACAATGACAGAAAAAGAATAAACAAGCAATAAATATATGCATAAATAATAAACAACATGATAAAGAAACACTGATAATATTGTATTGAATAAACAGGCAAACAATGCTTGAAACGATATAAATGGAAAATGAATCCTCCTGACATGAGGGAACGTCAACAAATTACTTCCTCTATGCAACGCGCACACAGAGGGGGAGCCGAGGAATTGAGGGACAGTCCCTCACACGGACCTTTTGCACAAATACAGTATGTCTATAACATTTATCTGGACATGTATTTACATATCAACATTTTCAAATGTTGTGAAGAAGCTAATGATTTGAAATAATATTATAAGTCATAGAAGTTAGAGTTTTTCTTAAAGAAAAAGTCCAAGGCTACTCAGATCCTCTACTCTTTGTCTTTATGGTGTAAGCCTCAATTGGACATTTTGTGTTCTGTAATGGCAGTTACATAAAAGACATTTAGACTTTCACATTTTCAACATGAACTTTGAATAGATTTGTATGTGTAATTGAGAGGTGTGCTTTGAAATTACGAGGTAGCACCTTATTTCCAGTTTCAAAGCCATTCCAAGCAGTTCCACATTTTTGCATCATTTTTTATCTTATCATTTTTTTTTTATCTTATGTGACTGCTTTTTTTCCCACAAGGTTATTGATGTAAAAAACAACAACATCCTAATTCATATCTAAGATTTAAGCATTTTCATAAAAGTACACATTTGGGGATTGTAGTACGGTGGCCGGTAGGGGTCAAACGCTCAGCAACTGATGAAAGGAAGTGATAGTTTGCATTTGCTTTTGAATGTGCAGCGTTTCTATATATGCTGCGTTTTTTCTAAATGTATGTCGTTTCCGTCGTTTCATCAGTTGTTGAGCGTTTGACCCCTACTGGCCACCGTAATAATGTTTTAAACTGCTCAAATAAGAAATTAATAATGTGATTTGAAAAAAAAAACTAAGGAAAACTTTTTTACCTTTGAATGATCACCACTTGCAGTTAATTGATACTGTTTTAGTTATTTTATGGATTATGTAGGGTGTGTTGATATACTTGAAAGGAAAGCTTTGTAAGCATACCTTTTGTACTCTTTTTTTTCTCATATTGGTTTTGAGCTGCAGCATGGTCCAGAAATGTTCCCCATTGTCAGGTAGCTAATACTCTTTTTATTTACAGAAGCCAGTACAAACCACTGAGAGATGGAGAGGTTGTCAATTTGATGTTCTAGATTTGTTTCATAATAATTCAGCAACATCACACAAGATGGAGTGCTGTTGTCCTGGATATCAACACAGCTAAAGGTCAGGCCAAAGATGAAGATAGATAAATGTCAGAAGGCCACAACAAGAGGTAACCTCTGGTGATGAAAAAAAAAAAACAAAAAACAAACAAGAAAGTGTAGTGCCAAGAGTATCCTAGCTTTTAGACAACAGTTCTACAAGTGGTGAAGTAAAAATTAATAAGCAAGTATAATCATTTTGGCATCTAATTATTCACAGGCTCTCACCATCACAACTATAGTTCTTACAGGAACAGGAACTAGACTGCAGCCAAGCTACACAGAACGGTCATGTTTTTGCCTTTTGAGTTACTTTTAAGTAAAACATTTGTTGTACATCATTGTAAGAAAAATGCTATACAAATGAAGTTTGATTGATTGATTGATAATAAAAAATAACTTGTGTGTGTGTGTGTGTGTGTGTGTGTGTGTGTCAATTACAAAACAAAAAAGTGATATAATAACTGCACATATTTGATTAAGAATTTTCATGCTGATACATCATCAACACCTTCAGCAGAGCTATCATTGTTCCGTCATCCTGTTCTCTGGAGTCCGCGCACACACACACACACACACGCACCCGCGCACACACACACACACAGAAAGCGAGAAAGAGAGACACACATGAACGCAGGTGAACAGCTGCAGCAGACACAGCAGCATGTCCTGCTGAATGGAGGAGGAACTTACAGACGCTCTTGTTGGGTTAAAGAGAAGGTTTCCGCTCTCAGCTTTCACTCCTCTTTTTTCTTCTTGTGCCAACAAGTCTATTTCAGGTCTGGAGAATCGTACATGGAGATGGCAGCAGCCTCGACAGATGCAGAGCAGGGGTCCACAAAGATCACCCCTGAAGCGCTTCAGGAGATGCTCCAGTACTACAACCTGAGCCGCCAGGAGTTCATCAACACATACAACATCAAGCCGCTCGTCTACATCCCCGAGTTACCGTACAGCGCCAAGGCCACCTTTGTGATCATGTACATGCTGATCTTCGTCCTGGCTCTGGCTGGGAATAGTTTCGTCATCTACATAGTTCTGAAGAAGCGCGCCACACAGACTGCGACTGATATTTTCATCTGCTCTCTGGCTGTCAGTGACCTGCTCATCACCTTCTTCTGCATCCCCTTCACTCTGCTGCAGAACATCTCGTCGGAATGGTTTGGGGGTGAGTTTTAAGCCTCAAAACATGTATGAAGAGTAGAGTTAATTAATTGATTATGTGCAATTAAAGATGAGATGAGAGATGAGATGAGATGAGATGAGATTCAACTTTATTGTCATTACACATATACAAGTATAGAGTAACGAAATGAGGTTTGGCATCTCACCAGAAGATGTTGCTTGAGGTCTAGGCTATACACAACGGTGATCTGACTTTAATGCGAATCATTTTATTTCATGACACGAACCCTTTATTCTTCATGTCAAAGTCTTGCAAATGCATTTATTAATAGTTGCATGCATGCAACGGAATGCTGAAATTTCCTAAGTTGTGTATTTTACAATCAATAAACTGATGAGCAAAAAAAACAAAAAAAACAACAACACACCGTTCAAGAGTTTGCGATCACCTCTACCTTGATGCTGTCCGTTTTTTCTAAAGTAATCGAAAGACATACTTTTTATAAGTAAGTTTCATTCAGACACAAACCGTACCAGTATGATCAAAATCTCAAAGAGCTGGTATGGAACTATGTGTCTACAACTGTAAATGTTGTGAATGTTAAGTCAACTGTGGCTCAGAGGAGTAGCCTAGAGCAGAAAGCTATGGCTGGAAGAGCGCATCGATATCTGACGATAACTGTGTGACCATGAGTTATTAGATGGGTAGGTTAGCACCTCGCACCTTTACCATCTGTGGATGAATGTTGTGTGAAAGGCTAATGTGGCATAGAGTGAAAGGCTTAGAGTGCTTGGAGGACTGGAAAGGTGACCTAAAAAAAAAGAGGTACATTTTTCCTTAGATTTTAGATGTATAAGTATACTGTATTAGGTCTACCCGTTTTTTATTCAGTTTTGATTTTTTTTGTGTGACAGTGGAGTGTAAATAACCTTATAGGCTAAATCTTCTTGGACATCAACACTGCAAACACTCAAATCTTAGCAAGTGAACTAGTCTCAATTCTAGTTAAAATATCTAATTACACTTATGAGAGGCTTCATATCGTATTGCAAGATACAAGCAAAAAATAAGGCCCAGAATGCCTTGAATGAGTATAAATAAGCCATGTCTGTCTGCCCTTTCTTTGTTCAGTCTGGTTGAAACGCTATGTAGTATAGTTGGTTCTCCTCATACAAAATGTCACTTTTTTCTTTCTGTGAAGATGATGTTTAATTAACAAGCCCTGAATTAAAGTCGTATATCAAAAATAATGAGCAGTCTTCTCAGCCATCTGATTGTGCTAACTTGGACCTTTGATGCCTACATCAGAGTTTGGAAGGACACCACTGAGTTTGTGTCATCATGTCAAACTTTGCAGAGGTTTGGATGAAATTAGGATGAACACGAGTGCAGTAAACATTTACTCCCCAGGGAGAATTTTTTTTTTAGGTTGAAAACCGCCAAAAAGATGCTCAAGACTGGAACGAGGTTTCAAGTGTTTCAATGACTTTTTGAAGATGTTGGTTACAAATGTAATGTCGTAGAATTCATCAGTCAATGAGTCAAGAGTCATTCATCCTGTCAATGTAAAAATGAACACGATTTAATGAAGCGACATTGTGTTTCATTGTGTTATAAGCCTAATTTAGCTGGATGAAAAATGGTTTTAGATGAGGTCTTTAAGTTTTTCAGACAGCTTGACATCAGCCAAATTTCAATGTTGTATTCCAAGCTAGTGGTCATTGGGTAATTAAAAAAGGAAAGAAGAACAGGTGTAAATGTATCACGATGTGCTAGTGATTCACTGTGCCTTAGAACTCGTCAAGGTCATCTGACTCACATTTTGTCCAGATAATATGTAGGTGTCAAGACAATCTTCACAATGTGCAGGTATGCGTACCTATACCTCTGATCCCTGGTGTTTTTCTACAAGAGATCCTCAGATTCTCATCAAATGAGATTCACTGGAAGACACTAAAATAGAGGTCTTATTTCTTATTTGATGGTTCATGCAATAGATGTCTATATACCCTCGAACCACTTTAGCTCACATTTTCATGCTTCTGTCCTAAACTCCCTGGTTTCTAAAGTTCCATTTGGGAGTTCTTTACTTACTCATTTTGAAAACATGCTGAACCCGATGATAACCCGTAACCAGACAGCGAATATAAAATTCTGTTACACACACTTATGTTCTTGCATGAAGAAGAATCTTGTTGTTGTTTTTTCTCAAAGGAGCTTTTGCTATCTTAAAATGCATCTTTCTTCTGTCAATGTATTTCACTATATGACTATATAACAGCAAACTTAACCTTTGTGTGCTGCCTGTCGTTTGTCCCTTAGTTGGCCAGAAGTGTAGGCTCAATTTCAGGTGCACATAAGAGCGTATCAGTTTTTTCCTCTTTGGCACATTCCTTAAACTTAACATCAAGGTCTTTCTTCATGGTGGACACATAGCAAAAGTAATTGCACGGCCTCCTCTATGGATTTCATTATATTAACATGACACAACAGCTGAAACCAAGAAGGACCCTTCACAGAGATGTAATGAACAAACAGCTGACCATTAAGAGTATCATAGCAATAATAGGCCAGCATGAAGCATGCACTTCTATTGAAATAATTAGCTCAGGACGAAGCTCTTTGTGTACGTCTGACCTGGTTTACTGCTTCATTAGGTGTGAATTGCGTGCCCACTGTGTTTATGTGCAATCAGGAAAGTTTGTCTCTAACCTTCAGGAGAAGCGTGTTGCTCTAATTTTCCCCTGAATGATTTCTTTTTTCCCTTTGTGTTTCCTGCAGGAGTTCTAGTTTGCAAGACAGTTCCCTTTGTTCAGACCACAGCCATAGTGACGGGCATCCTCACCATGACATGCATCGCCATTGAGAGATACCAGGGCATTGTGTTCCCGCTGAAAATGAGGAGGCAGTACTCGTCCAAAAGAGCGTACAAGATATTAGGTAGGATATGTTTATAGATAAAACTTCCAATTATTCCTTATGACCACAACATGGTCAAAGGACTATGTGTCTCTTTTTTATTTTCAATCTATGCCTCCAGGTTATTTTTTTTTAATTTGGTTTTTATTTGAATGTTTTTAATTGACTTTGGTCCTTGTGAATTTAAAAATGTAAACTCATTTGCAATTTGCAAATTGTAATTAAAAAAATAGAGAAACATTTTCAACACACTAACATAATAAGATTTTTCTACTAATATTATTCCAGTCTGTCATGGGTCAATGATAACCCACAACATTGATTTTGGTGCATTCTGTTTCTTTTTGGTGCGTTGCCAGATTTAAAATAGTCCGTATTTTCCTCCTATAACTAAAGTATGTACATGCCACCTTCCCTCTGGTAAAGTTATTTTACTCCCCTGGTATACACTGCACCTGCATACACAAACTCCTGCTGTCGGCATTGCTATTTAGATTTTTGCACTTTGCAATTCACTGAGCGGAAAATTGTCATTGGACATGGAGGGGATTGGACTCTCTGATCCATTTACTTGAAAGACACATGAATACATATATAATATATACTTTATTTATAAAGGGTACACATACACACATAATACCGAAATACACAAATGCACAAACAGGACCTGTAGTGATGCATCACTGTAGAGATGTCAGAGTGAGGGGCTGCACACAGGGGGCGCTCCTTTCAGTGCTTTGCTCAGGGGCATCTCTGCAGTATTTGGGAAGCGTCATGGCACCTCTCCAGCATTGTGATTCCCATGGCATCCAGCAACCAGACCAATTTCTATGCTTTGAGCTGTACTTGGATTTCAATCGTTGACACTCTGGTTCCCAATCCAAGTCCGTACACACTGAGCGACTGCCGATCAATCAGAGAAAATGCAAAAAAAAAAAAAAAGCCATGGGAATCACTAGCTCCTTGATTCCCCAGTGTGCGCACATAAAAAGGCCAAAACAAGTCCCTACAGACAAAGCTACTGCAGATCAATCAAAGTTATGAAGAAATGCCATGGGAATCAAAAGCTCCCTGATTCCCTCGTCTGTGCATGCATGCTTATGTGCATGTGCCTGAGCGTGCACCACTCAAACTAAAAATAGAAATGGAATTGAGAATCACCTTCACCCTTCATGTCAAGGCAGATTGAAAAAAATGGAAGTTAATTGGCCACATTTTGGTCAAGAAGGAGGCAACTGTGTGGAGAGGTTTTGTAATTACAATTCATTCAGAATCTAAACTTCAATAAAAACTACCAATCTCTATTACAGCCAAGAAGAATGTAGAAAAGGAAACTTAAATGACCAAAACTATGGTCAAGGAGGGCACAAGGGTATAATGAGTGTGGCTTATTAAACTTTCAGGTGAGGATGTGTTTTCTGTGCGTGCCAGGGAAAATATGTTCTTTGAAATTGAAGCGCTGCAATAATTAGATAAAAGTATGTGCTTATGCATATAGGATCTGATAATGCTAATAATAATTGTACTTGTGCAAAAATGCTTGTTATTGTCTCTGCAGTGCAGACTCTTACTGAGAAGGCTTCAGGCTGCATGTGAGTGATCATGTAAGAGGGTTGTGATGTTAATGTTCATGTTGTATATTGAACGCTCGACCTTCCGGTTGAGAGGCGATGACTCTACCAACTGAGCCACAGATTAGTCACTCAATCTGCCTGAAAACCATACAGGTTTGCTTCAGCTGTTTCTTTCATTACACTCGTCATAATAGATTCAAGTTGCCCTGATCCCTGCCTGAATCCTTTGAACAGTGTTGTTCAGCAGCAGAGTTTAAAAAGGGAAAGCCCACTTTGTGATGCCTCCGCAGCTCTCTCTGCTGTGATTTTAACATACAGATGGAATTGAAATCCCAACAGAAAAAGTCTACCAGTCTAGAAAACATTTAGTTTGTTGTGTTCTTCAAATTTGGTAAATGACAGAGAGAGGGTTCTCCTTTTTGTGACAAGGGATGATTGGCCTGATATGATGCATCATCTTTATTCTATTTAATCCCCAAAGTACTCATGTATGCAAAAGTCACATGTACTTTTATGGATAGCAAATATTTCACAAACCCCTCAGCTAGAGCCTGGCTTGTAGATTCATTTTGCTTTGCAGAGAGGGTGATTGGCTGCTATCTACCAGCTCTCCATGACCTGTACACCTCAAGGACCCTGAGGTATGCAGGTACAATTGTGCCCGACCCCCCCTCATCCTGGCCTGGACACACCCTCTTTGAGACCCTCCCCTCCAGCAAGAGGAAGCTTTGTAATCAAAATCTCAAGTGTCATATTGGTTGATTAAAGTAGGCGTGGCCTATCAACTATCTGCTCATAACTCAAGTTGCCTTTGATGAATCTGAATAATTCGCTGGAGACATCCAGGAGGACTAATTTACATCATCAGTGATGTGTCTTAACTCATATATATGATGATTCATTTTGGTTTAAGACAAACTGTCCTTTTAACACTGAGACAGAACGTAACTAAATTGTGCTCAATAAGAAGGAAAAAAAAGGGACAGGATTTGATGGTTTTAAATAGAAGTAGCCTTACTCCTACTTATATCCTATTGTATTAAATTGGACTTTCAGCTCGTAATAAAGTGGAGAGAGAGAGAGAGAGCTGTAGAGCTGGTAATAGCTTCTTCTGCACGAGTAGCACTCTAATACTGCCCTCTTTCTATTTCCTCTGAAGCTCCTGCGAGTCCCGTTTCTTTTTTTAATGCAACTTTTAACTGATGATCTTATGTGTGTCCTGCAGGGCTGGTGTGGATCGCCTCAGTGGTGGTGGGCTCACCCATGCTATTTGTACAACAGCTCCAGGTAAGAGGGGAAGGTCAAAACAATTCATGACAAAAAGCCTTTTAAGGGCAATCTTCAACGTACCCAACACAGAAGCTTTCAGAACATCGTAAACATCAACAGAAATAATGAATTGCCTCGAGTCAATTTAATGATGTTTTGAGAGACACAGAGAGCCAGGTTAGCAAAAATGGAATTATTTAAGTGTGTTTCTTTGAAATAAAAAGGTAATCATGTAAGTATACATGTAATTGCACACTGGTAATTTAATTACAGAACTAATCTTGTTTTGAGGCACACACTGACAAAACACTGCTTATAATTGTTGACAATGGTGGCTGTCATTTTTTGTTTTTTTCTAACATAGAAGAATGTGGATAGCACCTAAGTAATGTTTGTATCTTGATAGAAAAGCCCTGTAACATCAGGGTTTGTTTAAGTGATTCTGATAAAGATGGGTTTTGCCTGATCTTTAAAGGGGACATATTATGAAAAATCCACTTTTACAGTGTTTTTGAACATATATTTGGGTAACCTGAGTGTCTGCCAACCCACAAAATGTGAAATAAACCCATCCAGTGTTTTGTTTGTGGTCTGCACAAGTCTTACAACACAGAGAAAAGTGCTCAGTTTAAAATTTGCTCAACTTGTGATGTCACAAGTGGGATTCTGGTAAAAAAAAAAAAATCCCTTATCCTCCCCTGGTATCTCCACCCATGGACTCCACCCCTAGAGGAAAACATTTTGCACAGGTCCGGCATTTTTATTCTCGCTACAGAGTGATGTCTTCCGGGAAAACTCTGGGGGAGGCTCATTGCATTTAAAGAGACACACACACCAAAACAGAGCGTTCTGAGAGAGCTGGTTTATACAGGGTCACAAACCGCCTCTGGTGCTTGATTCATGTTATATATTGCCCAAAGCACAGCACAGATGTTTCATTTAGATCACAGGGAACTGTTTTAAAAGGTAGAAAAGGGGGTATAATATGTCCTCTTTAAAGCTCTGGCTGCTGCGGTGACACTCAAACTAATCTCTCACATGCTAAACAATAAACTTAAATGTGAAAGTATGTGCATGAATGTTGTATTTTAGGAATCACAGTGCTTAAACTAAAGTAGAGTGACAAGACTATGGCAAATATGGGTTAAAAATAGAAATCAAAGAGTTGGTTTGCCATGTTTAGGTGCTGAGCAATAGCTGTCACAAAGCCTCACATAAATACCACCCTGTCAGCCAGAGCTCCTTTATGTTTCTTAATTAGTGTCAAAGCACTTAGAGCCTCTCTCCCTCCTCTCTTAAAGGTGAAGTACGACTTCCTGTACGATCACTACCACGTTTGCTGCCAGGAGAGTTGGAGTTCTGTTACTCACAGGCAGGTGTACACGACCTTCATCATGGTGGCTCTGTTCCTGTTGCCTTTGGCCGCCATGCTGTTCCTCTACACACGCATCGGGATTGAGTTGTGGATCCGCAAGAGGGTGGGCGACTCATCAGTCCTGGACACAATGAACCACAGGGAGATCAATAAGATCTCAAGGTACGTTATTAAAAAGGTGTGTCACGATGATGTCATAGTTTAACCTAATAACGTTAAAATATGAATTCTGAATGCAGAATCCTTAAGTAAGGGGCAAGATGTTTGCTGGCAGAAGTGTTCTGTGGGGCCCTTTTTAGTCCTGGTAGTATGCTAATAGCAATTTTATGTGACTTGATGTTGCACAGAGAAAAATAGAGGTTGTGTGGATTGAAAAGGGGCTAACTGGTAGGCCATAATGCAATTCTGGTGCCAATTGTTCGTCATTTTCTAAAACCATGGTGTTAGTTAATTCTTTATTTTAGTTCCATTTTCCCTGCCTTCCCTCCAAGTTTCTGGGGCCCCGTCTTGTACCAACTGGTGACCCTGCAGCGGTTCAGGATCTCCACTTAGAAAAACACTATCCCTAGACATGAATATAGAAAACTGAAGCCAAAACATGTTAATAATAAGAATCCCAGGACACTTAGCCCTTCTCATTGCAGACCAGTGTCATCTGCGTCTGAACACCTAACAAGAGAAGAACGACATTGAAATTCTGCCACATGATCAAATTATTACATCACAAATGGGACCCATTTACCATGTCAATGTGGGTATTTGAGGAGGAAGAAAAAAAAACCCTCAACAGACAGATTTTTAGGAGAGCTAAGGAGATGTTGTGAAAAATACAAGGCTGTGTTTTACTGTGCATGGTTAAGAAGTTAAAGTTTGTCAAGATGCCAAATAAATTATATTTATGCTTCAGGATTGGAAAAAGAGCTGTCTGTTTACCCAACTTCCCTACAGAAGGTTGAATGTCTGTAGTAGGACAAATAACAATTGTGGGAAGGAAATTTAACAGACATGCGTTCAAAATGTCAGATATTAACATGTTGATGTCTATAGCTAAAGGGCAACACAAGCTGCCGGCATCTTGATTGACAGCTTTCCTGCTTATCTGCATTGAGGCACATCTAGTTGTCAGAAAATATGCTATTACAACAGCTGCCAACCCCAGCTACTTCACTTTGACTTGTGTTTGAATAGCCGTCTGGTGTCACTTGAGGCCACACACATGACATCACTCCCTCCATAGTCGGCATGTTGTTGGGTAGAAGTAGGTAAAAGAAAAACATTTTTACAAGACGTTGAAACTTTAGACAATTTTATATTTTGTAAATGATAGATACATGCAGTAATTTCTGAATCACGTCGGTGACACGGAAGATAATAGGGTTGTGGGTAAAAAAAGGGTTTTGACCTCACAAAATATTCCATCAAACAGCCATTAATACAATTTAAGATATTAAATTGAAAACAACTGCCAGGTTATATTGCTATTTTTTTTATTTTGGCTCCCCTGTGGACAAAGTATGTGTTACGTTGTCCCATTTTGACACTTATTATCCAGACTTGGTAACCTTTAATGTCTCTAACTGGATTTTCTGATCAGATAGCTAAAAAGTGGACTCCCAAATTGGTATCATTCATATCCAGATTAAACCTTTTGAACAACCGGATCCATGAGACAACAAAGAGATGACTTTGAGCATTTAATTAGTTTGATGACTCTGGATTGAACGAATCGTGATAAGGCACTGTGAGAGTTAGGACCACAGTTCTTGGGCATTAACCTTTCCATATTAGGCCCAGAGTTCAATTGATTCAGTCCAATTAGGTGTGATGACTGCCAGGGTTCTGATTTTTTTCAAACTGACTCACTACTGGAGCTCGCTGGCAAATGACCAGGCACCATCTTATCTTAAGGAGCTACTAGTGCCGTACTGCCCCTCGAGAACATTACGGTGCCAGGCCTGCTAGTGGTACCTACAGTCTCTAAGTGTACTATGGGAGGTAAAGCCTTCAGTTATCGGGCTCCTCTCCTCTGGAATCGTCTTCCAGCCGGGGTCCAGGAGGCAGACGCAGTCTGTATTTTAATTTTTTTTGTATTTTCTCAGCAGAGCAGCTGACCTTTTCCACAGGTATTTCTCACAGGTTTTCAGTTCCAGAGGACTGAAGAATGGTTTTCAATAAAGCACACAAGGAAACTGAAAAGGATTGCGTCGAACCTGCTGGAAATCATCTTTTTTTTTTTACCGGGTAACAGGAAGAAAGGGTCAATGAGCGCATGATTATGAAATAAGTCACACTCACACAGTCAGTTATAATAAAGCTGCTGCTGAGTGAATGACAGAAAAGGCGAGTTCTTTCAACGCACTCCAGCTGAACAATGAACATTGTTTTGACAGGATTTTTCCACTTCAAGTTGTTTGAAATGGGTTTTTTTTTTTTTCACAATTCTAAAATTTATTTAGCAGATGCTTTTATTCAAAGTGACGTACTTCAGAGAGTAAATACAACACTTCAGTTATTGGGCTCCTCTCCTCTGGAATCGTCTTCCAGCCAGAGTCCGGGAGGCAGGCACAGTCTGTATTTTTAAGAATAGACTTAAAACTTTCCTTTTTGATAAATCTTATAGTTAGGGCTGGTGCTGGTGTAGACCAGCTCCTAGTTATGCTGCTATAGGCTTAGACTAGCGGGGGAACTGACACCTTGAGCTCCTCTCTCTCTCTGTGCATATACAGTACATCATATTACTGCACTTATCTATCTGTAAATTTCAGTCACTAACCACCTACTTTCCTGGGAGCTCTTGAGCTCTCTTAGGCTCCTCAAAATCGTTGGTTGCCAGATGAGCCTGGCAGGCTGTCAGCCTGTCATGAGCCGGGGATCCGGCTGAAGATTTCTGCCTTTTAATAAGGCAGTTTTTTTCTTACCACTGTAACTTTTGCTGCTTTGCTAAAGTGCTTATGATGGATAGGCCGGGTCTTTGTAATATAGCAATAAGTAAGGTCTTTTACCTGCTTTTTGTAAAGTGTCTCAAGATAACACTTGTTATGAGATTGATTGATTGATTGATTGATTGAAATGTAGTTGAAAGAGTTCCATCATTAGCGTAGTAAGCTGCACCTGTTACCCTGATACTGTAATAAACCATTCTTCTGTTTTTACATTTCCTCTGTCACCGGGTTCTCTTCTCTGTCTGTCTTCACCTTCAACAGGAAAAAGAAAAGAGCTGTGAAAATGATGGTCACAATCGTTCTGCTGTTCACCATTTGCTGGGCACCTTTCCACACAGTCCACATGCTGTTTGAGTACTGTGAGTATCACTGGAGCCTAATAGCGTCAAAAACAAGAATTAGCATGATAGCATGACATGTTGAGTCTTTTGATTGTCATAGGATATTTTCTGATATCACAAAGTGTGCAGTTCAATCCAGTGTCATGCAATCAATATCTCTACATGAGACAATATTATAGGCCAGTTCAATACTGTCAGTTACAAATAAAACAACTTCTTAAGACCTATTTATGAAAGTGGAAAACATCCTTTTGACATAAAGTTAAAAAAAAAAAAAAAAGCACATGATGATATTAAAAGAGATCACATGCCGATGCCAGTGTTGATATCTATCAAAAATGTTGAATGATGATGATACTCCCTTGCCTATTGAGGTGCTTTTCACCAGTGGACAAAGGTCCACATGGGCACCTTACTATCACAACCAGCATGAACTTTTTTCAGCAACCTGAGCTCCAGCAGCAGAGGGCCAGGATCCCTTCCCCACGTCCAGCAATGAGTCTTTGCCACCTGTGACCCTGTTTGCTAGTTCTGAGGTTTCCCTTCCTTGGACTACCTTTGGTTGATACTGACCAGTGCAGTACCAGGAACGTCCCACAGGAGCTAATGTTTTGGGGATGCTTTTACCCAGTCATCTAGCCATCACAATTTGGCTCTTGTTAAATTCATTCACATCCTTACACTTGCCCATTTTCCTGCTTCCAGCACATAACTGTAAGGTGAACGAGTGGAGTTGGTCATCATGGTTATTGCCTAACATATCCCACCAACTCAATTTGATGACATAATCAGTATAATCAATGTAGTACATCTCACCTGTCAGTGGTCATATTATGGCTGTTCTTTATATCATATTAAATTGAAGGTTTGGTTATCAATCCACTGATGAATTGTTATGCTGTTTCCATTTGTCTAAAGTCTCTGTTTAGTTCTTAAGCTGAAGTTTTCATCTTTGTGTTTCCCTGTCCAGACGACCTGGAGAAGAAATACGACGGGGTGACACTCAACATGATCGTCGCCATCTTTCAGGCCATCGGCTTCTCCAACAGCTTCAACAACCCGATCGTGTACGCCTTCATGAACGAGAACTTCAAGAAGAGCTGCGTCTCCACTCTCTCTCACTGGATCAGAAAACCCAACCATCCAGGCGGCCCGGCAGTTGGGCCCAAACTAAGCGTGCAGTTCATTAAACCACAAGGCAGAGAAGCCTTCCTTGAATCAGACGAAGGCAACAGCTCGAACCAGAACTCTGCAGATAAAGGCCATTCGAATTCAATGCCAAGAGAGAGCACTCTGGAAATAATAGGAGAGAAAATCTCTACCATCCAAACTGAGCTGCATGCAAACAGCTCCTCTCAAGTGAAATGAGAAAACACAGACCATCAGTTCCAGTGTTGAATGTAATCCACCACCTGCACAAGTATCAGATGCAAATTCAAAACCAGCAGATGTGTTTTAAGACTGAAAAATACAGATTATTGCATCTCTGCAGTGCCAGAAGTTAATGTTTTCTCCCATTCTGGTCAGAGAAGCAGCAGAGAGGAAATTGAGGAATTTTGAAGAGAGGGAGTTTGACTCTGCTGTCATACAGTAGCAGACCAATTTATCAGAATGGTGGGATAATTGCTACCGGGATGTCTAGGAAAACTACATTTAGTAATGCATCAAAGAAAGTGTGATTAACGTCTAAGCGAGAACTTAGTACGGTTTCATAACTGAACCATTTTGAAAAGAGCACATGGACAAGTCTTCGTTTAACAGTAAAGGATGACATATGTGCTTTTACTGCACTGCTTAATATGGATTACTGAAGTAAGCTATTCACCATGAACCTCAGTACAATTCAGGTTACTTCAGTTTTTAAACGGGTTGCATCATGTCATACAGTTTAGACTTTTTTACTGCTTAATTGGAAATTGCATCCCTGCAAACTTTACCCTTGCACATGTTTTGATATGTAAAGGGCGACAGAGACGACCGCATGCCTTAACGTTTAAAAACAGGGTTAAATATACATGGAAATCACGTGAACCGAAATGGATTGTTTCAAAGAATGTCGTCCACTATTTCAGCTGTGAAGTGAAAAAGTTCAAATATATATGTATGTCTGCATTTGTGCCAAACTAGTAATATTTAAAGGCTATTTGATACAGTTCAAGTCACTCATTCATGAAAAGCGACTGTTTGATATGATATCAGGAAAAAAAATCATGGCCGAAACAGAAGACACAAGAACGGGAAACTTTCGACCACTGAATGGACACATACGAGGAAAAATGGGCCCATATTGTATTTGTTTGATGGTGCCGTCTCGTGTCATTTTCTTGTACATTTTGTTACAGTGTATGGTCTGTAATGATGTTGGGCAGTGACAGCTTAGCTTTTATCCACAGTTCTTTGCATTTTGGTTAGAAATTATTCCTAAAATCACATTGACAAGAATTTCCCTTTTTTTGGGCTCATTTCCCTTTTTGAAAAAAGGTAACTCATTGGATGTGAAGTCACCTCTTATATAATTGGCCATTTCTTGGAGATTAAAGATATATATTTCCTAATATTCAATACGGATGAAGTATAATGTTTTTTTTTTTTTCTGGGCACAATGGGTTAAACTCGAGGGTTTTTTTTAATAAAGGGGGCTGTATTAAAAATGATTGGAATGGAGAGAGGGACTTAATAAAATGGAATCTCTGGATGTATATAGCCATGTAAGGCTTTTGTATAATTATCCTTTAAAAATATATAATATATATCTAAATGAAATGCTGAATTATATATTTTGGTACAAAACGCTGCTTTACAAGATGACGTATATATTTTTGTCCTTGCTTGTATATCCATTTGTTTTTCCTGTGGATGTAACATCAATGCATTTTGAGATTAATTAAATAAAATGTGTAATATAATATAAAAATCCTCTCAGGTGAGATGTGTCTGGTGTCTGTAATACACTCAGCTTCACTCTACTAGGGCTCAATGTTTCACGGGGAACAAACTGTCACCATGGCGATATTCACCGCATAGAGAACTCAAGTCATTAATATAGCAACAGAATGATGCATCTGCGTCTTCTTCTCACTGCTGTAATTAACCATGGGGGGAAGTGATTATTACTTCTTTTATTATATTAGTAGGCATTTCAGCCTGCAAGTATCTGGGACCGTCAGAAGTTTTTGGCTGACTCGGAAATGAGCAGTGAATGACACACCCATAATGAATGAACAGTTTCCAAATTACCACTCCAAACTCTAATTTGAATGCATGCTGTGTGGAAATTAAACAAGGTGTAGTGCAGAAAGGTTTGCAGACTGCTTATAGTGCACATGGGCAATATTCCCAAGAAAATCTACTCACAAAGAGGGGAAAAAGGAGCTGATGATGAACAAGCTTTGTTCTAATTTAAACCGGCAAGAAAATCTGAAAGCGTAAAAATGTTTGAATCTTTCTGGGTTTTTAACTTAAAGGATGATTGAAGCCGTCAGCGAGGAATGGATGTTCACCTAGCTAAAAGGCTGAGGACAATCACTCTAGTGTGGAAAAAAAAACACTTAAATCAATCTCTGGGTGTGACCAGAATAGATCTGAGGGAATCACTTATATCCTTACAGACTATATAGATTGTTCAATCAACTGGCAAACCAAATCTGCCCCCCCCCCCCCCAAGCCTTTCAGCCAATGTGGCCAACATGTCAAGACATCAAAATACTGTGTGTTGATTGTATGTTGAATATGTTTAGACTAACACTGCTTCCATAAATGATGGGTGTGATGATGTTGAAAAACAATTTGGCCAACAGTTTTCAATCTATTATTCTGTCTTTACATGTTAAAGTCCCTCTATATATGGAAGAAAAAAAAGATATAAGATATTCTAGTTCATGTATTTTTATTACATTATGTACAATATTATATTATATGAACTGCTTCCAGGAAGTTTGGATGATTTCAACCCTCAACAGACATCTGCCGAATGAATACGTTTTTAAAAAGACAAACTTAACCCCATTCCTGATGTCACGTTTGCAGTGTGAGTGAAAAGTCAACTTTTCTCATTTAAGCTCCTATGCAAACAAAAAAGCAGTTTATAATGCAATGAACACACAAACAAGGCAAACATGAGGAGATCTACTTCATGATCAAGAGGTCATCTTAAGTCTGCAGTCTGCACACACAAAACACTGCAAAAAACAACAACAACCAGTGTTAGGTGCCATTATTGAGGGAACAAAAGATGACAGTAACAGAGGAAACACACTGTTATACAAACAATAAGCCAGAAAGAAATGTAAAAAACAGAAAAGGTTTCAAGTACTGATGTTTTGTCCTCAAAGTTTACAAAGTTCTAATTGAAAATGATGAGCATCTCCTACATGCTAATACGCTTTCTTCTTGAAATGAAAATTGCAGCGTCATCATAAGCAATGTCATGGCAGAAAAGAAGACGGCAACCCGTTGGAAATTAGGATCCCGAAGGAGCAAATTATCTGACACTTCTGCAGGCACTTCTGATTTTTCTCAAAATAATGTTAACCTGTGTAGACAGCAGGCTTCGGGGGGGGGGGGGGGGGGGGCTTGCTCTCTTTTCTTCATGCTACCTAATCAGAGGTACATGAAAGTCTGGGCTGTCAAAGAGGAGAGGTCTTTTGACTGGAGAGGGATCCTTGTCCGCCTTGTGTAGGAGTTTAAAGAGTCCTGTTCCGATATTCATCGGAATCCCCATAATGATGCACTCAGAAACACCTGAGACAGGAACACAGGAAATGTTAAGAGCCAATGAAAGGAAAAGAGCACAGTTAATTTGTTTATAAAGGTGATGCAGCATTTTACCGCAGACGGAGTCTTTTTGACCAAAGTAGGCGGCGTCAAAGAGATGATCGGCCGTTTTCTCAAAGGAGGCCAGCATGAGGACGCTCTCCTTCATTTTGGCCAAACCGAACCTGGTGATCCCGAGAATCTCCCCCTTAAATGAAAAACGACCACATGCAGCAAGACAAGACAGACATCACTATGGAGATAAATACTTTGACTGCTATGGTCATATCCAAAGTCAGTATTAAAAAAAGAAAGAAGATATGACAGCTTCCCCTACTGACAATGTGAAGTATAGGCCTTAAGGCCCGCCTCCTCTCCTTAAGGCCCGCCTTCTCTATGTTAACAGAAGGATCAAGGGTCAAAGTACAGATTAAATCAATACTTTTCTCTTAAACATGGTTTCTGTCTTCATACTAAGTTCATATTGTGCTGATCTATGTATGTCAAAATGTTATTTTTTTCCTGAGAAGTTTAGTTTTATGTAGCTATTTGATGCTGTAAAAAGGAGCTGTAACTCCATGATTGACAGCTCTGTTGACAAATGAGGCTCATGTAGCGCTCCTTACTGGGTTAGCAGAGGAGAGGAGGAACAGGTAGCTAACAATGACGCTACAGGTTTGCTTCAAAGTTCAATGTGTGTTTTGGTTAGCAGAAGAGGCGGGACGTCAAAACCCCGACTCCACAGATTCTAGTTCCAAATGATGTCACAAGCAGAGCACAAGACGGTGGTGTTATTTTGGCTTCACATTCCTTCAACAGGAGGAGGCGGGGAGGAGGGAGGTGCTGTCTATCTTGACTTACAATCAATGGTCATACCTTGTAGGACATGAGATCCGCCAGCAGCATGACGTGACGCCGGTCTATGCTCATCCCGTGGTTCACCATGGTGTACTGGATCTCGTTGATGATGGTGGATCTAGCAGCTTCAATACCCAAAGTCTTTTCAACCTTGCAACAAAAAAAAAAAAAGGCACATGGTTGGTTTACTAAGTCCATTTTAGGTAACTTCAAATTCTACAGTAATGAATCAAGGTTATTCTGTTAAGTTTCTGAATACCTTTTACTTTTACTTTTCATACTGAGCTAAAAGGATGTGTTCAAAAAGTGGAGCTGCAACTTAAAAGGTTCACTGCTGTTTTGATCGCCCTCATTGCACAGACACAATAGAAATGTTTCAAGGCAACAGTAACCAAAGAAAGTTCTCTGGCTTTGTAATATATGTGTCCTTTTATATAAGTGTCCGTTTCTCAGCAGAGCAGCTGACCTTTTCCACAGGTATTTCTCACAGGTTTTCAGTTCCAGAGGACTGAAGAATGGTTTTCAATAAAGCACACAAGGAAACTGAAAAGGACTGCGTCGAACCTGCTGTGAAATCATCTTTTTTTTTTTTTACGAGACCGGATAACAGGAAGAAAGGGTCAATGAGCGCATGGATTATGAAATACGTCACACTCACACAGTCAGTTACAATAAAGCTGCTGCTGAGTGAATGACAGAAAAGGCGAGTTCTTTCAACGCACTCCAGCTGAACATTGAACATTGTTTTGACAGGATTTTTCCACTTCAATGCTGAAATTGAGTTGTTTGAAATGGGTTTTTTTTTTTCTCACAATTCTACAATTCATTTAGCAGATGCTTTTATTCAAAGTGAATTGATTGATTGATTGATTGATTGAACAGAGGAGTACAGTTAGAGTTTTAGGACCCTGTTGTGAAGGTTGGATCAGACGCCTTTCATTGGCAGAGCGTAGTGGGCGGAAGGGAGTGCAGACCTGGATTATAAAGTTTAGGTAAGGAGGAGCCGTTTTTGTCGACGTTTTGTAAGCGAGCTGCAAGGTTTTGAATTTGATGCGAGCAGTAACTGGGAACCAGTGTAAGGAGATGAACAGCTGAGTGACATCTGCTCACTGTTTTACCTACAAGTACAACCATTACATCTTCTCTATTTTAGAACCTACAATCATGAATTGTACATTGTTCAGCTTTTTTTTTTTTTTTTTTTTGTTGATGGACGTGCTAATTATTCTTTACGCTCAGCATGTAGCAGTTAGCATGCTGTTACACTGAGAGGTGTTTCTAATATATATTTGACAAACTTTAACTCGTTGGAAAGATGTAAACCACCTCTATCTCGATCACTAAACAAGGTAATGCTTACCTATGTACACTTCAGGTCATTTCCCTTTCCTTATTACCTAAATGGAAATATTTTGTCAAATCTTAAAAAGGAAAATTATATTTCTACTACTAAGGGATAGAGGATGACCTGAAGGGAGAGTTCTCAAATAAAGAAGCACTTTTAATTATTGTACTGGTTCTCTTGGTACTGATAGTGGAGCCGAGAACATTCTGGAAATCTCTGAGGCTCATCAGTACTACTTTAGTATTCAGTCAGGGTGGGTTCTAGGCCTGTGTGTGTGGCTGGCTTTACAGTGAATCAGTAAACTACCTCCTATGCTCAGCAGTGGAATGACCTACGATTATACCTCTGGACTTCATTGACCACCACACATGGGCATAACAGTCCCGACTTGATCAGGCAATGTAAAAGTGGCTTAAGGCACCTCAGAGGTTGTTATGTTTATAGGTTTTTAAAGAGTTAATTTCAACCTGAGAATCGTGTCTTTGCTGTCCTTCAGAGCTTTCGCTTCTCATCTTTCTCCGCTGAAGTACATATTTCACATTTCAGGGCTGAGATGTTCAGGCATGGATGTTTTCAAACACTTCTTTTTCGGCTAAGGTTATTTTAAGCGGGGCATGATGTGTTCAAAGAAATCTGAGCTGGCTTACCCGTTAACTTCTACAAACACCTGCTCATGTTACGTGAGGGAGTCAAGCCCAGGCACAGCATCACTGTGAGGCTACAAGTAACAAGTCTACAGTCTGATATCACAATCAACAGCTCAGGAGACTACAGGAGACTGGTTTAGCTATATAAAAGAACGGTTGAAT